CAGCATCTTAGCTGTAGAGGGCAGTGTCACTGGCCCTCATATGTGGGATCCGAACCGGGGCCCTCTGGCATCCCAAGCCAGTTCTTAACCACCGCGCCACTCGGCCGGCCCTACTCTGAACCTTTTGATTGGTGAGTTCAGTCCATTTACTTTTAGAGTGATTATTGGTGCAATAGTCTTAAAATCTTATTTAGCATTATCTAATAATGGTAGACATATGCCTACCATTGCAGTCCTACTTCATAGATACTGCAGTCCTACTTCTAGGTATGTGCTCAAGTGAATACAGTGTGTATATTCACCAGAAGACATAGACAAAAGTAATCAAAGTAGCCTAAAATGGAAAACAATGTGAATGTCCATCAACAATAGATGAATCAATTATTATTTATTCATACAGTGGAATTCTGCATAGCAATGGAAAAGAGCAATCTACTGCTGTCTCAATAGCACTGAAGGATTTCACATGTTTAGCAAAAGAAGACATGCAAAAGTCATGTTAAATAATTCTGTTAATTTCTGAAATTTAAAAACAGTCAAACAAATCTAATGGTGAATAAAGTAAGAGTGGTGGTTACCTCCGGTGGGGACAGGTGGGTGGTATTTACTGGGAAGAGACACAAAAGGTCTTCTAGGTATAGGAAGTGTTGTATATTTGGATCTGGGTGGCATTTACACATATAAAAAATTATCAAGCTCTCAGTTCAGACTTATATACTTTAATGAATATGATAGTCGTGAATAAAAAAGAAACAGAACAAGAGAGAAAAGTCCCCTTTTGTGAGTGTCTTTAATAGTGCTGTCATGGCTGCCTCGATGTCCTGAATCATTTTAACTTTGAGGAAGAGCCAGAAGTCGCACGGTGCCAGATCCGGTGAATAAGGTGAATGAGGACACACTGTAATGTTTTTGACAGAAATTGCTGTATACCAGAAGCGATGTGTAACACGGAATGTTGTCATGATGGAGGATGAAACCATTTTCCAATTTCATGTTAATGCACAGTTCATGATCCATGATTTACAGTACACTTTAAAACACACCTTCTTGGGCTGGCCGAGTGGCGCTTTGATTAAGAACTTGCTTGGGATGCCAGAGGGCCCCGGTTCGGATCCCACATATGAGGGCCAGTTACACTGCCCTCCACAGCTAAGATGCTGAACAACAGCTCAACCTGGAGCTGGGCTGCCGTGGGTCGCCGGCGACGGCGTGGGCTGCAGCCCCTGTNAGAAATTTTCACAGGGATTACCAGACAAACATCTAACTGAAGATGCACTGAAGGTTTCAGAGATTTCGGGACCAACTGACCAGACAATTGTGTTACCAACAGCTCCTCCTAGTGTTTTTTCACACAGAGAGAAACCAGATACATTCTATCAACAGGATTTGCCAGATAGACATCTATATGAAGATGCCCTAAAGTTCTCAGGTGGCCTTGGGCAAGCTGATCAGATTACTGGGTTATCAACAGTTCCCCTTGCTGCTTATTCACACAGTGAGAAGCACAAACTTGTCTCGGATCATGTCCAAAAGCTAATAGATAATTTGGATTCTTATAACTCTAGTATTATCTTGAACAATATGCCTTTAAATTCTCAGGCTGATCGGAGAGTTGTAATAAATAAGCCAGAGCCTTCAGATTTTGACAATGTTGGCTTAGAAGTATCCCAGGATACAGAAAATGATTCTAAAACCCTTAAAGAGATTCAGACACTTTTAATGGAGGCAGAAAATATAGCACTGAAACGATGCAATTTTCCTGTTCCCCTTGTCCCCTTCAGAGATGTTAGTGATATTTCACTTATTCATTCTAAGAAGGTGGTTAGCGTCAAAGAACCCCCTACAGCTGATGAATATAATGTTGATTTGCTCCAGAGACAGCCATTCACAGAGGAAAGTCCAAGCAACAAGTGCATACAGAAGGAAATTAGCACACAGACGAACCTAAAATGCCAGAGAGGCATTGAAAATTGGGAGTTTATTCATTCAACTACAGTTAGAAGTCCTCTACAGGAAGCAGAAAGTAAAGCCAGAGTGGAATTAGATGAAACCCTTAGACAACATAAAGCAGCCAACTCTGTAATGAGATCTGAACCTGAAGGGTGCAGTGGAACCATTGGGAATAAAATTCTGATCCCTGTGATGACTATCATACAAAGTGATTCAAGTAGTGATGCAAGTTCCTGCTCATGGGACAGTAATTCCTTAGAGTCAGTTTCCGATGTTCTTCTAAACTTTTTTCCATACGCTTCACCAAAGACAAGCACGACAGATAGCAGAGAGGAAGAGCGTATGTCAGAGAGTGATGATGGGGGTGGTAGTAGTGTAGATTCATTGGCTGCACATGTGAAAAACCTTCTGCAGTGTGAATCCTCATTGAATCATGCTAAACAGATACTCAGAAATGCAGAGGAAGAGGAATGTCGGGTACGAGCACGAGGTAGGAACTGATAATTTGTTATAAAGCCAGGTGAAGCTTATAAACATTAGTTGAATTTGTTTAAAGTTAAGTGTTAGGAGTGCTAAATTATTTTCTTGTAGAACTGTTAGGATGATTACATTTTTCCACCTGTGATCCAGAATAAGACCATTTAACCAATAATGTAGCTAAATCACAGTATGAAGAGTGCTAGTCTGATGTTAGGGTCTTAGGAAAAGTAGGTTCCATATCTGAAGAAGAGTAAGGAGATAGCTTGGGTTTCCAGACTCCTAAAGCTCTCATGTTTTCCTAATCTTCCCATTATAATATCCTTATTTTGGAGGCAGAAAAAAAAATTGCTTTGTTCTGAATCACTCTGTATTATAAAACTGTTGGATTGTCAGAAAAGTCATAACGTATTTTTTTGTTTTTCTTTGCGAAAGTGCATCATGACTTTTCCAACAACCCAATACATATACTTTCTCATCCTCTTTGTTAATGAAATTCTTGGAGCAGGTGTTAGACATTAGAGAAAACCAATCAAGTCATTTCATACTAAAACTTGGGTCAGAAGTTTAAAAGAGAATATTTACTAATCCCATTAATCATTAATAGTAGAATTCCATTAAAAACTAAAAAAATCTTGACAATACGGGGAATATATTTTGGAGGGCAACTTATAAGCAATTCAGGCCTACCTGGAAATCTTCCCTTGAGATTAATTGCATATACCATTCCTTCTATCACTTATGTATATTTTGATTCTCCAAAAAACTCCAACTTTTATTTATTATTTTTAAATATCAGCTCTCATGGAAGTGACAGTAACTGTAGTAGGAGCTAATGGGGAAGGCAAAGGGATTATCCTGATTAGAAGGAAGATGAAGATAAAAATGTTTGAATACCATATTTAAAGTTGTCTCTTTGAAGAAATACCTGTAAAATATGTTTAAAAAAATCAGACTTTTCAGTGAAACAATCTCAGGAACTTGGAAGAGTTTGTTATATAATTGAGAGCACACTTTGCTAAGCATGTGGTAGCATGATATTGGATATATTGATCTGTGCTCTTGTCATTGACAAATTACCATGTTTGCATGCATTGTATTATCTCAAGTGTTTTTATGCTTTCTCTCTAGCATGGAATCTGAAGTTTAATATGGCTCATGAGTGTGGCTACTCCATTTCAGAATTAAATGAGGATGATAGGAGAAAAGTAGAAGAGATCAAAGCAAAGTCGTTTGGTCATGGAAGAACAACTGATTTGTCCAAGGTATAGAGCCTAACTGCTATGCTGTTCACCTGAAACTAATATAAAATAATATTAAATACTAACTGTAATTGAAAAAAAAGAAAAGAAATCTAGAAATGAAAAGAGAAAATGTGAAAGAAAGGGTAGTAGAATTTGGATCTCTTATCTGGGCATTGATGACTAGCTGAGTCACTGATAGTCTTTGGCTTAAAGAATTAGCAGCCTTAATTCTTCAAAAGTTTAAGGATTAGATTCTGTAAGCTTTGATTAATTCCAAATTTATCTATTGAAAAAAATTATTTGCCTTCTTTGGAAAATAAGAATGAATTTTCCATATATTGTCATCACTCTTATTTTGTCTTGAGGGTGATATCTTGAGATGCAGATGAAGTCCAGCTATTTTCAGAAGTATATTCACTGTTTAGGAACACAGAGCTATCATGGCCTATGTATAAATGACTTTCTTTTTAATAGTAGACTATCAGTAGTTATTTTCCTTCTGTTGTGAACTGTTTCATGCATAGAAAAGAATATATATAAAACATGTATGTAAAGAATAGATTAAAATTAATTCCTGTATATCAGCCATTTATCTTGAGAAATAGAATGTTACCAAAAACACTGAAGTCCTGTGTCCCCTTCCCCAGTCATAACTTTTTTACTTCCTATCCTGACATGTATTGATTTTCTTGCTGTTTAGTATGGTTTTCAACTCTATAATAAATGTAATTAATGTGGTATATATAATTGTGTTTTTCATGCAATTGTAGGTTTTTGAGATTCTTCTATGTAGATGTACATAGTTTTAGTTTATTCCTTTTCAGTGTATGAATATATCATAGTTTATTCTCTTATGGATAGGGAGTTTGGTCTTCTATTATGTACAATAATAAGGTATTATTATTATTTTTTTTTTTTAAAGATTTTTATTGGGGAATTGGGGGATGGGAACAGTGCTGGGGAATTGGGGGAAGGGGAACAGGCAAGTTGCTGTCCTTTTGTTCTTCAGTCTAGTTGTGGAGGATGTTGCTTCACTGGCCCAAGTTGGCACCATCATCGCGCTCTTTCCGGGCAAGGCAGATCAGTCGCTGGCTTCTGGACGGCCGCTCACGGTGGCTGCTGGCCACTCACGCTGGCTGCAGGCTACACACGGTAGCCCATGGCAACCCACTGCCACAGGGGCTGCAGCCTACGCCACCCCCGGCGACTCACTTCAGCCCAGCTCCAGGTTGAGCTGTTGTTCAGCATCTTAGCTGTAGAGGGCAGTGTCACTGGCTCTGATATGTGGGATCCTAACCGGGGTCCTCTGGCGTCCCAAGCCAGCTCTTAACCAACTGAGCCACTCGGCCGGCCCAATAATAAGGTATTATGATAATATCTGCCCTATAGGGTTTTGGTATGGCTTTCATGAGATAATGCCTATCAAATGCTTAGTAGAATGTGTGATATCTAATTAGTGCTCAGTAGTTGGCAACTGCTGTAATTATTAATCCTATAAAAATTGATATCGGTATCATATGCATACTTTATAGCCTAAATCATAGTTTCTTAGAAAATTGTTCATCAGTGATATAGCTTAATTACTGGCTTATCAATTGATAAAATTTTGGAAAAGTTTTTTAAAAGTATAAATTAGATTGGATTTTAGGTTTACATATATGCTTTTGAAAAACGAAATTAACAACTAATAAAATTGATAATTAGTTACCCTAGGACCCTTTGTTTAAAAGTACATATTTTCTCCAGTAATCTATATTTCCTTATTTCTTTAACCTTCATATGTTGATGTTTTTAGACCCCTCAGCAAAATTACCTTTCTTTAGGTAGACTCTAGTTTGTATTCCTCTTAACACAATGTGGACCGGTGACGCAGATTTGCGTCTATCCATTGTAATGCCCCGTCCTCAATTTGTTAACATATATGGTGTCTTTAATTGAATTAAATACAAATTTCACATGTGTTCTGACCGGCATGAAGTATATTTAGTATTCTCTTTGCTGATATATTCTATGATTTCTAATGGTCATATCATACTATGGCATTTTAAAAAATAATATGAACTACTAACTGTCCAGATTTCTATTCCCATTTCTTGTTCATACAATTCTTTTTAACTCTGCTGTATTTCTTTTTATTAGTTTCATATCAATGTTTAAGCTTGTTGAAATGATTTTGAATTTCAATTACATCATCTATTATATTAAATATCCTTCCAGCTTTGTGCCATTTATGTATTTAGTAACTGTTTTGTCCAAATATTTGATAAAAATATTTACTAAGACAGGGTTATCAGGGAAAACTCTAAAACTATTTGAAGAAGATTTTTTTAACAACTGAGATAAGTACTTCACCAAGCTATCATTCAATCCACAAGTCACCATCTTATATTTGACTTCCTTCAGTCTGTTATCTGAGAGATTATGAACTATAGTTTGTCTAGTATATCTTGTTCTTAGTGAACTCGTATTGGTCACAACTGTGTATATATTTTTGGATGCTTCTTTTTTAACTTAAGTATATGATCATTTTCCCTTAAAACTACTCTAAAAGCATAATTTTATGCATGAAAATAACACTTTAATCATTCCCCTACTGTTGAAAATTTATTCATTTATTCCAAAAATGCTTAGTAGATGCCTAATATATTCCAGTCTGTATGCTGAGGACATATGACTGAAAAAAAGACAAAAATTCCTTCTTGAAGCTTAAATTCAAGTGAGAGGGTATAGATAGCAACCAAATAAATAAATAAAACATATAATATGTCAGTTGGTGGGATGCCAGGGAAATAAAGCAGAATAGTCAAAGAATGACCTGATAAGGAAATATTGGATCAAATCTCTAAAGAAGGTGTGAGAGCAAGTCATTTGGGTATCAGTGGCAAGAGCATTCCACACAGAAATAGCATGTACAACATCCCTGAGCTTAGCATGTGCCTGATGTGTTAAAAGGATAGTAAGGAAGCCAGTGTGGTTGGAGAGAGAGACAGAGAGAGAAGACCAGATTGTGGAGGGCTATAGTTCTTATCAGGGGCAGTAAACGCCTTCCAAAGAAATATTTTGGAAATTTGTGTGGGTTGTTTTTGTCATCACAGTAGAGGGTTGCTTCTGGCATGTAGTAGATAGGTGTCAGAGATATTAGAAGTCTTACATAGGGTGGTCTTACACAATGAAGAATTGTCCCATGTCATCTACAGCTTTTGAACATCCCTCTAAATATTCATGTCTGTGAAAAACCTGGTATAATTATTTTAGTCATGTTTCTTTTCATTGTCATGTTTCTTTAGGTTCTCTTAGTATAGAACATTTCCTCTGTCTTTCCTTGTCTTTCAACACTTTAACATTTTTGAAGAGTACAGCCCAGTTACTTTGTAGAATGTCCTTCAGATTGAATTTGTCTGATGTTTTGTTATGATTAGATTCAAGTTTGATTTTTCTGTAGGAATACCACAGAAATGAAGATATCCTTTCCCTGGTGTTCATATTAGGAGACACATTATGTTGATTTGTCCCAATATGTTACATAAGCATATATGTAAACCTAAAATCCAATACTGATGTTAGCTTGTACCACTTAGTTAAGATGGTATCTTAATATGGTAAGTTTTCTCCACTTTAAAGTTAATTTATAAGTTTGTCTTATATATCAGTAAATAATTAACAAGTATGAGGGAAAGATACTTTGAAACTTTGTAAATATTTTGTTATTAAACTTTTACCTATTGATGATTTGAACTGAATCATTTATTAATAAGATAGCTGCAACTTAAGAGATTTTTAAAATTTCACCATTCCTTCAATATTTATTACTTGGAATTCTAAGAGGTTTCCATTCTTTCCATATATTTATATCAGTATGCACTTGGATTTTTCTTTTACTCAAAGGGCATATAGCCTGTTGCTTGCTGTTGTTTATTTTGATACCTAAATTATCCCACACTGCCAGTGAGAGCCTTTTTAACTGGCTCCTGTGTATTTTTTATATGTCCCCATTGTTCTTGGAGCTCTTACTTAGTTTCAGGTGGAAGAAGATATTTTAAGCAAATCTTGTATTTTCTTGTCACCAGCCCTGGAGTCA